ATGTCTTTCACGCCACCTTCCTCTTCTTTGCTCTGATTCGTGAACTCCCCCGCGGCCCAAAGTTCCTCGTCTCTATGTCCCGTGACCCAGATATGATGTCTCGCATACGGGGCTCTCGCGGCTTGCGTACTATTCTCGTCTGCGAGCATGAGCTGTGTAGCGGGGGGCGAGAACTTGTATGCTACGTTCTTCCCGCTGATGGGATTTCTCTTGTTCGTGTTTTCCATTTTGACGGTTCTGTTGAATTTCGGTTCGGCATCTGCGTACATCGCCTTCTTTACCGCCGTTCTTCGAATCTCGTATCCGTTTCCGTAGGGGTTAGTCTCCGGGTTCATGGGAACGCCGTGTGTCTCTTCGACGACGATAGCCGTTGCTTCGGGATCGTAGGAGTCGATCGAAGGATCTATGCGGACCGCGAAGATATGTTGGTGGTTCTGTGCCAGGATACCCGGCGCAACGACATTTCCGTAACCGGAGGTCTTCCCCTCGTCTATAGCCACGACGCTGACGATACCGGTTGCCCGCGTCTCGACAGTGATCCCGCCTGCCGTGTCGAGCTTGTAGGCGAATACGTACTCGTAGTTTGCAAGCGTGGCGACGAACTGAATGACGAATTCCCGGAGTCGTGTTACGACCGCGCGGTCTGTGCGGAAGTTGGTGTGTTTCCAACCAATGCCTGCATACACGTCAGTAAAACACTCATAAATCTTCAGTGTGGTTCCCTCATTCCCGCTTACCGTTATCTTGCTCGTGCAAACATACGACATTCTTAGCCGTCTCCGGTTTTCCATCAGTGCCAGCCACAACAGCACTGAGATAATGGATAGCACCAAGACAATCACATCCGAGCTTCAGATTATTCGCAGCGCGACCGATTCCGCCGTCTCCGAAGTCAAAGGCCTGTTTGCGGTGGAATGGCGGGCGTGGGTCGCCGTACGGGACTGTCATCTCCGAGAATGAAAGACGATGTAAGATCGGTCGGTTGTCATAGCATACATCGTATAGCACTGCACCCTCTCTCGGTGTGAATCCAATGCGAAATCGCCACTTCTGCCACTCTACGAGATTTTCGGAGTCAACTTTGAATGAGGCGCCTTCTGGTTGGGTGACATTGATGGGCTTCATATCTGTGCGCAAGGGCCTGTCGAGGAGCTCGGGTGCATACTCGGCAGATGTTGCACTCTGGAAGAGCTTCTTTGGCTTATCGCCGCGAGGGGGTGGTGCAAGGCCATCTCCCGAACCACCTGTTGCTAAGCGATCAATTCGGATGAGCCTTTTCGTCGCTACATCCATGACCGGGATGATCGGTACAGGATAAGCGTAGTGATTTGAATCATCGTTATTGCTCGTCGTATCGCGGGCGAAGACAAGTCCCTGCATGTACCGAGGCACGTCCTCCTCCGGATCAAGACCACCGTACGGCCAAGGGTCAATAGTGACGTTGAAGTTCTCTGGCAACTCGAATTCCTCCATGGCCTCTTTGAACATGTCGGATGATACACACGCGTCTTGGAACATAGCAAATTCCGGCATCGTGTAGCTTGTCTGATACTTTGGCGCAAACTCCTTGCTGGCGTAGATGTGCCCCGCCTCCACATCCACGATCGTTTCGGTGAGTTGGAATACGCCATTTTGAACGACGTCGTACAGCAACTTCACGCGTCTGGTCGGTGTAGTGGATGATTTCTCGCCTGCATGTTCGGCGGCGAGATACTTTGTGAGCTCTTCTCTCTTAGGCTCGTCAAAGTAGGCGGATCGGAACACGCAGCCGATACCCTCCCCACTGTGTTTGTCGATGACGAGATTGCGGGCGCGCAATAGCTCATCTTCTGACAGCGGCCGCAGCGGGTGCACCCCGGACTGTGTCTTAGACATGATTCTGACTTGGCGGGATGAGAGCAAAATGTTTTGTCCACAGTGGTATCCTGTTTATGATGTATGGTGTCTTCGTTATAGCTTATCGTTGCCGGAGAATAGGGAGCAGGGGAGAGATGGCCAAGCCGAACCCCAAAACTCAGTTGGAACAGCGTGAAATGTATGAATCGGTCGGCTCTCAGACGTGAATAAGTATGTATGTAGTAATCTAAGAATGAATGAAGACGCCTCCTATATCGCGGGCGTGCTTATCATCGCCCCAACTGTACGTCGTTCTTAGCCAGCCCCGAATCCCCAATCAGGTAAGAGTATGTCTAACACGGCGTCAATAAGCGGGTGGTTACCGATAGGCAAGTGGTGCATTGATTCCACTGGGCAGTGATTCGCACCTTAAGGTAGTTGATCTTAAACTGTAATGGGCAAGTCCTTGCGAGCCCGCCCGCAACTATTACCTAGTATTGTACTACGTCGGCATAGGTCAGAGACTCTCGGCGCGCTTTGTAGTCGGCTTACGGCATCCGCCGATATCGATTCCATATCTCCATATTCGACCCCGTACGGCAATACACATCCACGGCAATCGTTTCTTACATGTTGAAGAGGATGGAAGTCGCAAAATGCACTCTGGAGAAGACAACGAGGGTGCCGATGCAAATTTCCGAATCGAAGCAACGCCAGCGGCCACACGAAGTCGCATCAAAGCGGCGTGGAGGCGGATAGGCAGAGAATCGGGCGTCGGTCCGAGCCGAACAAACACCCACTAAGCTTCACTCAACAATCACCATGCATGCGATGCAGCCACTGGCCGCAGTTATCGGAAACGGTCACGAGAACGTCCCCGCGCTGGGGTAGGACAAGATGCAGGTAGTACTTCGCGCGCTGTCTTACGCCGAAAATCCATCTGCTCGCCATTGGTCACATACCTCTCCGACACCACTACAGCTCCCGATTGCAGTTCCGCGGGTCACACGACATCGGGATTGATGGTATGTCGTGAGTTACTGATGAAGGGGCCTTGGACAATGGCGTCGGCGCAAGCATACGGCGGTAGACACAGCTTCATGGTCAAGATGCGTCACAATGGCGAGACGAGATCCCATCACATATTCGAGACAGCCACGAACACAGGAGTGATGTGATACAAGCTTGGTTCCGTGAAGTTTATTTACGCAAAAGCCTGTCTTTTCCACTCTATATGATAAAATTTTTATTTCCTAAATCCCTATAGTCGAGTCAGCTTTTGAGAAGGCGGGGGGGATCAGAAGAGGATGGCAACGTACCGAACGCCTTTATATGCATGCATACCTATGCTTATATGTAGCCCTTGAGAACTGCGGCTTCGGCATTCAGTATCGAGGAGCCGGCGGCACCAATGACAGCTGTGACATGTCAGCATTGAGTTTTGTGTGCGAATATTCAAGTTTGATTGCGCGTACTGTTGTGACTCAAAGCAACAAACTTGATGTCGAAAATACCGCTTTCATCCTCCCTCACGCGCCCAACACTGACGGTGTATCCGCGGCTTAGATCGCGGTCTAGTCTAGGCTGTGGCCTATCAGGTGCGTCGAAGACCATGATACTCGGTTCCGGTGCGCTCGGGCACCCCAGTTTTTGAGCTTCAGACACGTACTCTCGGAGCGCGGCTCTGACTTCTTCTTCCTTCGGAGGGGGCCTGTTCTTGAAACGCAGAGATACACATGCGGTGTGTCCGTCGAGCACCGCCACTCTGTTGCAAGCAGCCGAGACGCGGAGCTCCTCCTGCTCGACAAATGCCGTGGCATCTCCATTCATGCCACCCAGTATCTTCCGTGCCTCGGTCTCGAGCTTGTCTTCCTCGCCACTGATGAAGGGGACGACATTGTCCATGATGTCCATACTGCTAACGCCAGGGTAGCCGGCACCAGACACAGCCTGCATGGTGACGACACTCACGGTATCGACGGGACCGAAGCGCGCCTGCAGAGCCGCGAAGGGGATGACGAGCCCAATGACAGCGCAATTAGAGTTGCAGACGAGGAAACCCTTCTCGAGGCCGTGGTGTTTTCGCTGGTGGGGAATGAGATCGAGATGTGGTAGGTTGACAGTCGGGACGACGAGGGGCACGAGGGGATCACGGCGGTAGTTCTTCGCGTTGGAAAAGACGGCGAGTTCGGCTTTGAGGAATTCCATTTCTAGAGGCAGTCGTTAGTCAGGTCATGTCAGCTTGGCGACTTTACACAAGCGCGAGTGCGTGCAACTCACCTACGTCGCCGGCAACATCCGAGTCTAGTCCGCTGAAGACGACGTCGCAGTCTGCGAACTCGCTAGCCTTGCATTCCTTCACGACGAGCTCTCCAACAGCGCCCATGGGAGAGGCCTGCTTCCATCGAACGGCATCCTTGTATTTCTTGCCCGCTGATCTCGACGAGGCGCCGACGGCATGGAGAACAAAGTGCGGGTGTTGTGACAGCAAGAGGATGAAGCGCTGGCCGACGGAGCCCGTGGCACCAAGGACGCCTGCAAGGTAGTCATCTGCTTAGTGGGCTATCTTTTCATGGTTTGGTCGGTCAAAGCAACATACCACACTTCTTAGTGGGGAACTGGGACGCCATGTTTGTTGTCAGGGCCAATTGAGTGAGGTATGGTATGTCTGAGTAGTCAATTGGAGTAGGAACAGTTCAAGTCTAGATCTCTATAAGCGAAGCAGGCAGATTCGGGTATGATGTTGATTTGGGTCGTCGGCGCATCAGAGCCAGGAGATTTCTCGAGGCAGCAGAAAAGTCAACCCCGCGGTCGCTGTGTCATGCCCCGCCATCCGCTATCGGATCAAACGCCGCCGTCGCCGTTCGAGGCACCCAGGGATTCAACTGCCCGCGGCATCAATGTGATATTAGACTCGGAATGTTTCAAGTCGGGCATTGTGAAGCAGCTTGGCCGTCAATGATGCAATCCGACATCTAAACAACGACAATCTGAATAACCATGATTTATCCGACGACGTGTGCCAAATCGTTTGTTCCTGTACTCGGCAATCGATTCCCTCAAACGTCCTTCCCGTGCGACGTAGCGTCTCTAGATCCCGCTGTAACGGGGAGAGAGGGAAAAAAAAATTAGAAAAAATTGCCGTGATGAACAAAAGCATGAAATGGTCCACATGAGGGTCGAACTCATGACCTTCGCATTACTCAGATTCTATCGCTAGAATATTAGTACGACGCTCTAACCAACTGAGCTAGCAGACCTGATGGTTGATAAAAGCACACTGCTTATTACGTTATATGATCTCCAGTCTGCGAAGGGCTCATGGGAGAAGCAAGAGGGTGGGGCTGACTCATCTTTCGGGGTAGTATATCTCGTAAAGGGGTCTATTTGCATTATTGGACGCATGGAGGTAGTAGATGTAGTTTAGGTTGTAATTATGAGTCGACTTATCGCTGTGTACCGGATTATCTATCTACGGTCTACCCGTATTGCACAAATTGTTTTGACCTCGTTTCAAAGATCCTCCCAGTCCAAGACGTAATCAACAATCCATGGTGTATCCCAGCTGTCCTCCCAATATCGATATGTTATGCCATCATATGTAGCCAAGCATTTGAGCCCAGCTTCGACACCAACATCACTGATCATCTTGACAACAGATGTGCTCAGAAGAACTGTTTCGTCCCAGTCCCCTGGTTTGTCGTAAATCCTAAAATTCGCATTACATTCATACGCGGCTGCATATGCTGCAGCGTAGATGGCGTACCGTAAGTGCGGATCACTAGCATCTTCACATTTGTCTAAGAGCGGTTGCGCTGCCGTGACACCTGCATCAGAGACTCCCCTCACTGCATCGACTGAGCGAAAGACCCGGGTACTGGCTGCGAGATTGCCATTTTTGAGTAGTTCTGGAACGGAACGGCTGCAAGCTGTCGCAGCGGCGGACGCAGCTTCGAAAAGTGCCTCTAAAATATCTGGAGAGACTATTCTGCGAGTCAGGATCGAGATTGGTGCTTCTGAATCTACGTTGCCGACCGCTGGGAAGGGTTGTGGTGGGATGATCCGCGACGCTGGGCAGGACGGAACGGATAACATGACCCTTCAAAGTGAACAATTGTTCGAAAATCATGACCTCGCGTTGACTCTAGACTAAGCAATACTAAACCTTACACCAAGAAGAGAGACGTGATTGCAGCTGCATGTAGATGCAACCGAAGAAGATATTGCCATATCTAATCGTAGAGACGACGCATGGCCAATGTGATGGTGTATGATACAATACGACCACATGGTACCTAGTGAAAGAATTCCGAGGAGAAGATGCATTGAATATTGACATCAAAGATACTCCCCGGGCTGTTTCTAACGGGCACCCTGACAAGAATGCTCTGGTTTGCAGACCAGCATTCGGCTTCCGGTTGCTTGTGCTAGCCCGCGAAAAACACCGTCATATGAGCAGCATATTTAAACAAATCTAGAATTCAAGTATACCAAGAGTAATCACCCGTTGAAGGGAGACGGCTATCACACAGAAGTAACGCCTAACTGGTACATCAAGTGGCCTTATCACGAGCTTGAATGATAATTTCACAAGAGAGCCGCAACGAGAACGGTGAAAACCGCGAGCTCTAAAGCGGTGTATTGGAGTGCATACATAGCTTTTCCAAATTGCCGACCCACGATAGTGACAGTGTTCGTAGGCGACGAGTCTTATCGTTATACTCGCGTAGCCGCCGCTTGTTCTCTGCTGTGAATCGGATGAGATCTTGATGGTCTAGGGATCTCTGCTCCTTTGGTAAGATAGGTCCGTAGTCGTGACTGGGCCGCCAATCTCATACAGACTGGGCATAATGCTCCCGGGCTCTATGGCATCGCGTCCTTGCCACTTGTTGGAACATGAATCCATCTAGGTCACATGGACGCCGCTGTTCATCTGCGAGTAAAAGCCTAGACGTGCTGTGTTTCTCCGGTCGAATTCACCTCTTCTTCAGTACAGCTCTCCGGTCCACCTGAAACTTTCCGAGCCATCTAGATTGAAACACACATCCTACTCCAAGTCTACGGCTTGAGCTTCTACACGTGCACTCATCTCATCATTGTGGCACAGTAATGACCATATCTAGAACTATCATAATTGACCTGACGGTAGTCTACAATTGGATAATATCGCGAAAGAATTTGAAATACACATAGAAGCTTGTAACTGAATGGAGGCTCACTCAGGAGACTTACCTCGCTGGGAAGTTCAAATTGCAACCATCATAACTCAACCTGTTACTTACGACGCACCCTTGTCCTCTTCTGACGTACAAAACCCGACGATAGCACAACCTCATATCCTCCACATCTTCTAACACATTCGCCGCGTACCTAGGTAGATAACATCCCCGGTTCAGCCCTCGAAGTCCGCAAACCTAGCAGAAGAAGAACAACACCAGGAAATTGGCAGTTTCACAAACACTACCACAAGAACTCACCAACTTTTTTACTACCGTCAACTTAGCTCTACTAGCAAACAATCAAATCATCGAACGCATAGAGTCAAACGTTAGCAAAGATCTTCATCCGTCATACCCAGAAGATAGGCCAGGCGAGCCACACTCGTGTACAGGCGACTATCCGATACGCGTCATACATGTATCCCTTCAGCTGGCATTCAATCCGCTGGAGTTTAATTATAGCAGGAGAGAAGATATTAGTGCTGCAGGGAGGTTCGTCAACCGATCACGTACTTGAGTGCGGAAGGAGAACAATCAGTCATGGGTCACGGCGATCAAGTTCCTTTGCGCGCAAAGGTGCTACTACTGACTCCGCGCGCGCATGAGAAGTGCGTTTGTCAATGAATGGATACGTGTCATTCTCTTGTCGCGACGACGTCGTTGTTGTTCTTATTATTCTTATTGTTGTATAACCGTGACCCTTAGCTCGTGTTCGTTGACAAGCTGGACAATGACATGTAACCTTGAGCTCTTATAGGGCGAGGCGAAAAGCATGGCAGTGGTGGAATGCCATAAATGTGGCATCACTTAATTTGTACATTCTTCTTCACATCCTCAAGTAAACTGAGAAATGCAACGAAAAATAAAAAAAGTCTCAAGAAAAATGAGATGTGTGACAAAAAATTATAGCTGCCGAGTCTTGGTTCTCGTAGTCATCATTAGATGGCTGCGATACGAACCTAGACAACCTGCAAAGGTGCTCGGCGTCTGTCCTTACCCTCCGCCGGAGCATCATAGGGTATTTTGCTACCTGGAGGCAGTGTAATACCAGGCAACAAGTGAGGATGAGCGTGTATCTGCGAGTGTGTGTGTAGTTAGCGGTTCCAAAAAGAGTTCGCAGAATCAAGAAGGAATAGCGGAGACAAAAAGGGCAAAGCAGAAATCAAAACGCCAACGCCAAACGCCAAACGCCAAGATCAATATCCAAGAAAGACAACAAAAGAAAGACTGAGAGAACCCGGCCCCGGGGCTTGTTCCAGGGTGAACCAAAACATCGCGCAGTCTGGGTACGAAACGGTAGAGGCCGTCTCGTACAATGTTCTCTCTCGATGAGACACCTGGTGCTACGACGCGGCGCTGACAAAACAAGGCATCAAGCGCTTTAGTTAGCCCAGCCTCACCGTCCCATCATCCCGACCCACGATCTCGCGATACCCGAGCCGTGGATGTCGGTAGGGCCGAGTTCAGAAGGAGCAATGGCGTTCGAGCATCCGCGAGGTCGAACCTCCAGGCATCCGTGTTTTCAATCAGCCCTCCACATGGCACAGCACAGCTACCCGATTTTCACATGGCGATGGCCCGGCTTGCCGTGTCCAGCTACTCTCTCGGACCATGCTGCCCACTCGTCGAGATCCGAACCGCAGCCGGTAGCATGCTGCTGCTCTTCTCTCTCTAGGCGTACTTCACGCTCGTCGTGGATCCGATGGAAAGTGAGGGAAAAGCAAGCCTCAACAAACCACCTGGAGAGTTGTAACGACCACCTGAAACAACTTCCAGTACGGGACGACGATCTACTCGAGAGGCGCAGACCCATGATCTCTGACGTGTTTAACTGACAAACCGGCCACACCGGCCGCAGCCAGTTTGCCAGGCCATAGACTCAAACCAGGATGAGGTGAAAGCTACACTGTCGCGGTGCATTGAGGTCTCTCAGCCGTGAAATGGGACTTACCGAAACTGTCCCGGGCTGACCAGTGGTTTTCGGTCGCGGCGTCGTCGAGGTTGTTGTCGTCGAGGTGGTTGTCGTCGAGGTGGTTGTCGTCGAGGTGGTTGTCGTCGAGGTGGTTGTCGTCGAGGTGGTTGTCGTCGAGGTGGTTGTCGAAAAAGTGTCATGCCGTCGTGGTATGCAAGCGTCGTTATACCCAGCCCGCCTTCCCCTTATCCCTGAGAAAATCAGCAAATGTGAATAGTGGTGGTGAGCGAGGAAGCGAGAATCAAGCTGGTCACAGCAGCAGAGTTGAGACTAGAGAAAAAATTTACCATTAATTGATCCATCGGCGCCGACATGCCGCTCCTAATGTCGAGGTCGTGTCGCTAATGCTTGCTGGAGGCCAACGATCAGTTTCTGGAATGAGCCATGGACACGGCGGAGGTACTCCGATGCCAGAACGAAGGAGATGGGTCGTGACTTGACAGATGATTAAGGAACAGAAAGCAAGCATGTAGGTGACATGATGCATCAGAAGGGGCATCAAATGAGAACACGAGAATGAGCAGGACAAAGTGAAGGACAGAGCCGGCATACCTTCCACCTTTACAGAAACGATGACACGCCGAGGGCCAGGACCGAAAGCGTGTGACATATCTCTTTGAAGACACACGACGGCGGCTTCGTTGAGCGGTGATGAGCGGTGGAAAAGAGGCGGGAGAAGACAAGACGACGCGAGCGAGTGAACGTGAGGGAAGGTGGCGACGTGGAAGTAGGTAAAGATTGAAAACGCTGGAGGGAAGAAGCGGGCAGGTGGGAAACGCGTCAAGTAGAAAACAAAATCGCGTCGCGGCGAGCGGAAGTCACGCGTATACAAGGAAAAGATAATGCAGAGGAACGTACCTTCCAGTAATGACCACTGCCTCGAGCGGCCAGACCGGAGTGCCGAAGTCGTGTCATGGGTGCTCCGCGCGCGAGAGTCTTCCAGGTGTGGGATGAGTGGCGGAAAGGCAGAGTCGTTCCTGATGGTTGAGAGCTTGGTAAGAGAAGCCGGCGAAGAGGATGAAATGGGCGATGATGAAGTAGAGTAGGAAGAGACGGAAGGGAGGAACGG